AACTTATGAATTCATGCTGTGTCCTGATATCGTCTGCTTTTTATAATTAGTATTATTAATTTCTCTCTGGGGCCCTGAATGGGAAGATACCTACATATGATTTCCCTGTGTATAATTTCTATATGTTTTTTATGCTTCCTTGTATTCCTGACCCTTTGCCCCTTCTCCCTCCAAAGAAATATGTAAGGGAACCCTCTGGCCATTAGCGGTTACTGAAACCTCCCGCCAAAGACTTGCATGGATAAAAAAAGGAAATTCTTATCTCTAGCCTCGGAAGATGGCCCACTAGAGTAAAAAATTGTTTGACAAAAGTTTCTGTAAGATAAGGGGAAATCTTCCCCTCTGCTTTTGTTTACTTAGCATTAACCTCAGGCTGCCATCATTGTTCTCCTGTCTCACAGCCAGGAAGGATCTGGATATTTTTACACATGTTGATTCACAACACTCATGAACACAATAGATCGGCCCTGTTTGAGCTTTTTATCTCAGGCCACATGGCATTTCCTTTATTTAAAGACTCCTTCCCCAGATTCCTTTGTGCACTCTCATCCCGCCTCCATCTCTCCTGATTGGCTGTCGCCACCAGGTGGCAGAGGTCTCCCCACTGGATCCTACGGACTATTGGAGCTTCCTGATTGGTCCAGAGGCACCGGGGGCGGGAGGGCCGCCTCCCAGCTGTTCGCCCATTGCCCAATCATTGCGGGGAACAACAGGGAAGCCGGGGCAGGGAGTTTGAACTCTGCACCTTTGAATTTGCTATAAATATGACTGTATTGGTGTACTCCCCTCATGCTTAGCTTTGGCGAATGATTGCAGCTCTGCATCCGTTTCAGCTAAATCGCATTAAATCTCGATGGCTTTTCTTCAACTGGTGAGACTTGGTGGGAAATCAGGGAAAAATATGGGATGCTTCTCTGTCTCGCCAGGGAAAAAGAACTCTTTGATGAGTCTAATTGGTCTCTGCCTCCTGGCAAAGACCCCTAAATTTTAGCTCTACAACACAAACTCCAGGTCAATGCCCACCAAACCCTTCCAGTATTTTTTGTTGGTTGTGGGAGTTCTGTGTGTCAATTTTAGTTCAGTTCCATTATTGGTGGAGTTCAGAATACTATTTGAGTCTAGGTGAACTATACATCCCAAACTACAACTCCCAAACACAAGGTCAATGTCCACCAAATCCTTCCGGTATTTTCTGTTGGTCATATGAGTTCTGTGTGCCAAGTTTGGTTCAATTCCACTGTTGGTGGAGTTCAAAATGCTCTTTGATTGTAGATGAACTATAAATTCCAGCAATTACAACTCCCAAATGTCCGGTTCTATTTTCTCCAACTCCATTCGTTTTCACATTTCGGCATATTGAGCATTTGTGCCAAATATGGTCCAGATCCATCATTGCTTGAGTCCACAGTGCTCTCTGGATGTAGGTGAACTACAACTCCAAAACTCAAGGTCAATACCCACCAAACCCTTCCAGTATTTTCTGTTGCTTATGCGAGTTTTGTGTGACAAGTTTAGTTCAATTTGTGCCAAGTTCGATTGAGATCCATCATTGTTTGAGTCCACAGTACTCTCTGGAAGTAGGTGAACTACAACTCTCAAACTCAAGGTCAGTTCCCACCAAACCCTTCCAGTATTTTCCGTTGCTTATGTGAGTTTTGTGTGACAAGTTTAGTTCAATTTGTGCCAAGTTCGATTGAGATCCATCATTGTTTGAGTCCACAGTGCTCTCTGGAAGTAGGTGAACTACAACTCCCAAACTCAAGGTCAGTACCCACCAAACCCTTCCAGTATTTTCCGTTGCTTATGTAAGTTTTGTGTGACAAGTTTAGTTCAATTTGTGCCAAGTTCGATTGAGATCCATCATTGTTTGAGTCCACAGTGCTCTCTGGAAGTAGGTGAACTACAACTCCCAAACTCAAGGTCAGTACCCACCAAACCCTTCCAGTATTTTCTGTAGCTTATGTGAATTCTGTATGACAAGTTTAGTTCAATTTGTGCCAAGTTCGATTGAGATCCATCATTGTTTGAGTCCATAGTGCTCTCTGGAAGTAGGTGAACTACAGCTCCTAAACTCAAGGTCAGTACCCACCAAACCTTTCCAGTATTTTCTGTTGGTTGTGAAAGTTCTGTGTGACAAGTTTGATTCAAGTCCACTGTTGGTGGAGTTCAGAACGCTCTTTGTTTGTAGGTGAACTATAAATCCCAACAACTACAACTCCCAAATGACAAAATCAATCTCTCCCCCAACACCATCAGTATTCAAATTAGCATGTATCAGGTATTTGTGCCAAATTTGGTCCAGTAAATGAAACTACATCCTGCATATCAGATATTTACATTACGTTTCATAACAGAAGCAAAATTACGAGTTACGAAGTAGCAACGAAAATAATGTTAAGGGTGGGGAGTCACCACAACATGAGGAACCGTATTAAGGGATCGCGGCATTAGGAAGGTTGAGAAACACAATCTTTCCAGTCTTTCTTCGTCCCCACCCTCTTCTGCCCCCAAATCACGCTTCCACACAAGAATGTGGGAAATGTAGGAGAGGGCATTAAGGGCTTGTCGCTAAGCCGTGGCCAGAGGTAATTTTCAATGGTAAGCAAACAGTATTTTGGCGCTCGCCCCGCCCCCCCCCCCCCCAACCAATCACTGATATATATTTTCTGTTCGTCGTGGGAGTTCTGTGTGCCATATTTGGTTCAATTCCATCATTGGTGGAGTTCAGAATGCTCTTTGATTGTAGGTGAACTATACATCCCAGTAACTACAACTCGCATATGTTAAGGTCTATTTTCCCCCAAGGGTGCCACAAAAGCGCCCCTGGGCTACATCAACTCTACTGCGAATGCTTACTTTGCGTATGGGTTGAGCCGCCCCTGGTCATGGCAAGTGCGGCTCAGTAGGTGCCTGAAAGTCCACAATCTTTCTGTTTTGCCTCCCCATCAAGACCAGTAAAAGCAGAAGGAGTCACTGGGAAAACCTCCAAGAGAGTGGGAAGGAAGAAGGTATACAGATTTCTTACTATTTTAACAAGACGGCAAGAAGTACCATAGGTAAAGGTAAAGGTTTCCCCCTGACATGAAGTCCAGTCGGGTCCAACCCTGGGAATCTGGTGCTGGTTGACCTACATTACCAGCTGCACAAAATAATTAACATTATAAGGTTTTTCTTCAACACATACACACTTGGTCCTGCCACGACTTACCGCAACACGAGTGAGGATCGGTGCTCTATCCTAACCATAGTTTTGCTTTATTAAAGGCAAAAAGTTTCCCCTTCACATTAAGTCCAGTCGGGTCCAACTCTGGGAATCTGGTGCTGGTTGACCTACATTACCAGCTGCACAAGATAATTAGCATTATAAAGTTTTTCTTCAACACACACACACTTGGTCCTGCCACGACTTACCGCAACACGAGTGAGGATCGGTGCCCTATCCTAACCAGATTTTTGCTTTATTAAAGGCAAAGGTTTCCCCTTCACATTAAGTCCAGTCAGGTCCAACTCTGGGAATCTGGTGCTCGTTGACCTACATTACCAGCTGCACAAAATAATTAACATTATAAGGTTTTTCTTCAACACATACACACTTGGTCCTGCCACGACTTACCGCAACACGAGTGAGGATTGGTGCTCTATCCTAACCATAGTTTTGCTTTATTAAAGGCATTAAGTCACATTAAGTCTAGTCGTGTCCGACTCTGGGAATGTGGTGCTCGTCTCCATTTCTGAGCCGAAGAGCCGGCGTTGTCCGTAGACACCTCCAAGGTCATGTGGACGGCATGATTGCATAGAGCGCCGTTACCTTCCCACCAGAGAAGGTAATTCTCCTCTGGATACCTATTGATCTACTCACATTTGCATGTTTTCGAAATGCTAGGTTGGCAGAAGCTAGGGCTGACAGCGGAAGCTCACACCGCTCCCCGGATTCAAACCTATGACCTTTCAGTCAACAAGTTTTGCATGTCAGCGGTTTAACCCACTACGCCATCGGGAGCTCCCAAGAAGTATCATATAGATATTGACAAGCTGGAATGTGTCCAGAGGAGGACGACTCAAATGATCCAGGGTCTGGAGAACAAGCCCTATGAGGAGCAGCTTAAGGAGCTGAGCATGTTTAGCCTGCAGAAGAGAAGGCTGAGAGGAGAGAGGATGAGGGCCATGTATAAATACATGAGAGTTGACAAGCAGGAATGTGTGCAGAGGAGGGCGACTCAAATGATCAAGGGTCTGGAGAACAAGCCCTATGAGGAGCGGCTCAAAGAGCTGGGTATGTTTATCCTGCAGAAGAGAAGGCTGAGAGGAGAGAGGAAGAGAGCCATGTATAAATATATGAGAGTTGACAAGCAAGAATGTGTCCAGAGGAGGGCGACTCAAATGATCAATGGTCTGGAGAAAAAGTCCTATGAGGAGCGGCTTAAGGAGCTGGGCATGTTTAGCCTACAGAAGAGAAGGCTGATAGGATGAGGGCCATGTATAAATACATGAGAGTTGACAAGCAGGAATGTGTGCAGAGGAGGGCGACTCAAATGATCAAGGGTCTGGAGAACAAGCCCTGTGAGGAGCGGCTCAAAGAGCTGGGCATGTTTATCCTGCAGAAAGGAAGGCTGAGAGGAGACAGGATGATGGCCATGTATAAATACATAAGAGTTGACAAGCAGGAATGTGTCCAGAGGAGGGCGACTCAAATGATCAAGGGTCTGGAGAACAAGTCCTATGAGAAGCGGCTTAAGGAATGGTCGGAGTTGAAGTCCAAAACACCAGGAGGGCTGCAGTTTGCCCATGCCTGGTTTAGAAGTAGCCACACCCCTGAGCAATAGTCCAATCAGTGTCCCCAATGTCACCCCAATCTTGCCATCACTCTCTTCGCTCCACCCCAGTGGATGGCAGTTGCCCAGTTTCCTGGGTTTGGCACCACCAAACCGGTCTCGTTGCAAAGCCAATCTTCTCTGCCCAATGCCAACTCAAACCCACCCTCGAGCCCGGTGCCCACCTACCGTTGCCACGCAGCACTGGAGATGCCAAGTGGTCGCCAGGAGGAGTGGAAGGGCGCCGCAAGGGCCATGCATGGTGGTGCCAAGGCGGCTCGCTTCGCCCTGACCTTTGGCCCAACTGTCCAAACTTTGCCAACCCAGAGTGGTCCTCAATCTCTCCGTGGAGGGAGGCGTTGGCAACTCCTCGGGTGGGCTCTGCCCCTCGGCAAGGGCATTGTGGCTCCAACACTTGCCTTGTCTTCTTTCACAATGCGGGCAACGTCCTCACCTTGGAGGGAACCAGGAGGAGCAGGGCAAGGCTCAGGTGCATGGCCCAAGGAGGCCCAACGGCAAGGGATCTTCTGGCTTCGTCGGAGGCGAGTGGCAGGAAAGCTGCAGCAGAGCAAGGGGAGAGTGAAGGACTCTGGCAGCGGCTCATGTGATCGCTCCAATCCCACCCAAAGGAGGGGAGGGAGGCAGCCGAGCTGGGGACAGGCCAGAGAGACAGAGAGGAGGGAGCTGGTGGTGGCACGGTCCCACAAAGCAGGACAACTATCCACATACGCCCTGCGTTTTGTGTGCAAACAAAGCTTGAGACGAGGACAGAAGAGGTGACAGCCACCTCTTGTCGGTGTGTTTGCCACCTGGCACTTCCAGGTAGGCTGCTCTAAGCTGTCCAGGCTGTTGCTACCAAGAGGCAGGCCGTTGCTATCAGGACCCCATTGTTTACTTTGAGGTTGTTGCATTTCTACTCTTAAGAAGAGAGAGAAGGGTTAAGTCAACAGCGTGGCACGGCACCTCAAAAGGCCAGTGCCATTCTAGGCCTATTTTATTTATCGTATCAGAAGCGAACTGAGGGTACAGTTGTAATTAGACCAAACCTGGAATATTGTGTCCAATTCGGGGCACCACAATTGAGGAGAGATATGGACAAGCTGGAATGTGTCCAGAGGAGGGCGACTCAAATGATCAAGGTTCTGGAGAACAAGCCCTATGAGGAGCGGCTTAAGGAGCTAGGCATGTTTAGCCTGAAGAAGAGAAATCTGAGAGGAGACATGATAGCCATGTATAAATACGTGAGAGTTAACAAGCTGGAATGTGTCCAGAGAAGGGTGACTCAAATGATCAAGGTTCTGGAGAACAAGCCCTATGAGGAGCGGCTTAAAGAGCTAGGCATGTTTAGCCTGAAGAAGAGAAGGCTGAGAGGAGATATGATAGCCATGCATAAATATGTGAGAGGAAGCAACAGGGAGGAGGAGCAAGCTTGTTTTCTGCTTCCCTGGAGACTAGGACACAATGGAACAATGGCTTCAAACTACAAGAAAGGAGATTCCATCTGAACATGACTGTGAGAGCCGTTCAGCAGTGGAACTCTCTGCCCCAGAGTGTGGTGGAGGCTCCCTCTTTGGAAGCTTTTAAACAGAGGCTGGATGGCCATCTCTCAAGGGTGATTTGAATGCAATATTCCTGCTTCTTGGCAGGGGGCTGGACTGGATGGCCCATGAGGTGTCTTCCAACTCTTTGATTCTAGGATTCTATGATTCTATGGGAGTTCTGTGTGCCACATTTGGTTCAATTCCATCATTGGTGGAGTTCAGAATGGTCTTTGATTGTAGGTGAACTATACATCCCAGTAACTACAACTCACATATGTCAAGGTCTGTTTTCCCCCAAGACCGCCTCAAGAGCACCCCTGGGCAAAATCAACTCTACCACGAATGCTTACTTTGCGTATGGGTTGAGCCGCCTCTGGGCAAGTGCAGCTCAGTAGGTGCCTGAAAGTCCACAATCTTTCTTATCGGAGGGGACTGTTTTGCCTCCCCACCAAGACCAGTAGAAGCAGAAGGAGCCACTGGGAAAACCTCCAAGGGAGCGGGAAGGAAGAAGTTGCTAGCCCAAGGCATAGAGATTTCTTATTATTCTGACAAGACATCAAGAAGTATCATAGGTAAAGGTAAAGGTTTTCCTCTGCCATGAAGTCCAGTCGGGTCCAACTCTGGGAATCTGGTGCTGGTTGACCTACATTACCAGCTGCACAAAATAATTAACATTCTAAGGTTTTTCTTCAACACACACACACTTGGTCCTGCCACGACTTACCGCAACACGAGTGAGGATCTGTGCCCTATCCTAACCAGAGTTTTGCTTTATTAAAGGCAAAGTTTCCCCTTCACATTAAGTCCAGTCGTGTCCGACTCTGGGGGGTGGTGCTCATCTCCATTTCTGAGCCGAAGAACCGGCGTTGTTCGTAGACACCTCCAAGGTCATGTGGCTATCATGACTGCATGGAGCGCCCTTACCTTCCCAACGGAGCAGTACCTATTGATCTACTCACATTGGCATGTTTTCAAGCTGCTAGGTTGGCAGAAACTGGGGCTGACAGCAGAATCTCACACCGCTCCCCGGATTCAAACCTGTGACCTTTCAGTCAACAAGCTTAGCAGCTCAGTGGTTTAATCCACTGCGCCACCGGCGTTGTCCGTAGACACCTCCAAGGTCATGTGGTTGGCAGGACTGCATGGAGTTGCCTCAAGAACGCCCCTGGGCAAAATCAACTATACTGCGAATGCTTACTTTGCATAATGGGTTGAGCCGCCCTTGCCTTGGCATTATACTAAGTGTCACGGAGTCCCCGGTGGCACAGTGGGTTAGACCTCTGAGCTGCTGAACTTGTTCACCAAAAGGTCAGTGGTTCAAATCCGGGAAGCGGGGTGAGCTCCCGCTGAGAGCCCCAACTTCTGCCAATCCAAATCTATCCTGCATCTCGGTTATTTACATTACGATTCATAACAGTCACAAAATTAGTTATGAAGTAGCAGTGAAAATAATAATATAGGAGCCCCTGGTGGTGTAGTCGGTTAAACCCCGGGCTGTCTGGCCATGTTCCAGAAGCATTCTCTCCTGACGTTTCACCCACACAGTGGGTTGAACTCCTGTGCCAGCAGGACTGAAGATCGACAGGTCGCAGCTTCGAATCCAGGGAGAGGCGGATGAGCTCCCTCTATCAGCTCCAGCTCCTCATGCAGGGACATGAGAGAAGCCTCCCACAAGGATGATAAAAGCATCAAATCATCCAAGCGTCCCCTGGGCAACGTCCTTGCACATGGCTAATTCTCTCATACCAGAAGCGACTTGCAGTTTCTCAAGTCACTCCTGACACGACAAAAAAAAAAAAGTGAAAATAATTTTATGTTTGAGGGTCACCAAAGCATGAGGAACTGTAATAAGAGGTCGCAGCATTGGGAAGGTTGAGAAACACTGATATGCAGGATGTATTTTCATTCACTGGACCAAATTTGGCACAAATACTCAATACACCCAAATCTGAATACTGGTGGTGTTGGGGAGGATTTATTTTGTCATTTGTGAGTTGTAGTTCCTGGGATTTATAGTTCACCTACAATCAAAGAGCATTCTGAGCTCCACCAACGATGGAATTGAACCAAACATGGCACACAGAACTCACACAACCAACAGAAAATACTGGAAGGGTTTGGTGGGAATTGACCTTGAGTTTGGGAGTTGTAGTTCACCTACATCCAGAGAGCACTGTGGGCTCAAACAGTGATGGATCTGGACCAAACTTGGCACGAATCTATATGCCGAAATATAAACCTCGATAGAGTTTGGGGGAAATAGACCTTGACATTTGGGAGCTGTAGTTACTGGGATTCATAGTTCACCAACAATCAAACTTCACCAATAGACCTTTATATTTGTTGCGCTAAGTCCTTGCAGGACCATATGAGTGTGTGTGAAGAAATACCTTATTGTGTTTAATTATCATACACAGCTGGTAATGTAGGTCAGCTGGGCCAAACTTCCCACATAGAACCCCCATGACCAACAGAAAATACTGGAAGGGTTTGGTGGGAATTGACCTTGAGTTTGGGAGTTGTAGTTCACTTACATCCAGAGAGCATTGTGGGCTCAAACAATTATGGATCTGGACCAAACTTGGCACGAATACTCAATATGCCTGGTGGAGTTTGGGGGAAATAGACCTTGACGTTTGGGAGCTGTAGTTACTGGGATTTATAGTTCACCTACAATCAAACTCCACCAATAGACCTTGATATTTGTTGCGCTAAGTCCTTGAAGGACCATATGAGTGTGTGTGAAGAAAAACCTTATTGTGTTTAATTATCATGTACAGCTGGAAATGTAGGTCAGCTGGGCCAAACTTCCCACACAGAACTCCCACTGCCATCAGAAAATACTGGAAGGGTTTGGTGGAAATTGACCTTGAGTTTGGGAGGTGTAGTTCACTTACATCCAGAGAGCACTATGGGCTCAAACAATGATGGATCTGGACCAAACTTGGCACGAATACTCAGTATGCCCAAATGTGGACACTGGTGGAGTTTGGGGAAATAGACCTTGACATTTGGGAGCTGTAGTTACTGGGATTTATAGTTCACCTACAATCAAACTCCACCAATAGACCTTGATATTTGTTGCGCTAAGTCCTTGCAGGACCATATGAGTGTGTGTGAAGAAAAACCTTATTGTGCTTAATTATCATGTACAGCTGGTAATGTAGGTCAGCTGGGCCAAACTTCCCACACAGAACCCCCATGACCAACAGAAAATACTGGAAGGGTTTGGTGGAATTGACCTTGAGTTTGGGAGTTGTAGTTCACCTACATCCAGAGAGCATTGTGGACTCAAACAAAGATGGATCTGGACCAAACTTGGCACGAATACTCAACATGCCTGGTGGAGTTTGGAGGAAATAGACCTTGACATTTGGGAGCTGTAGTTACTGGGATTTATAGTTCACCTACAATCAAACTCCACCAATAGACCTTGATATTTGTTGCGCTAAGTCCTTGCAGGACCATATGAGTGTGTGTGAAGAAAAACCTTATTGTGCTTAATTATCATGTACAGCTGGTAATGTAGGTCAGCTGGGCCAAACTTCCCACACAGAACCCCCATGACCAACAGAAAATACTGTGTTTTCCAAAGGTCTTTGGCGACCCCTCTGACACCCCCTCATGACCTTCCCTGTATTGTGAATAGGGGAAAATGACGTAGGTGTGGAATCTGTTGTGGCGACAGCACCTGACTTGGGTGGCTTTGAAAAGGGATTAAGACGAATTCCA